GAAAGAACAAAAGATAAAATGTTAAGCTAGGCTCAAAGTTAATTCAGCAATCATTTCCCCGGCAACGATGCCAGAAAGCTTGTTGGTATATTTAACGCACACAAATAAATCCACAAGTGCACGAATACCGTTGCAACTTTCACCCGGAAGTATTCCAAGTATCGTATCCACAGGGAAACGTGTGAGAGTAACTACGTCTAACTTAACCTGGAGTAGCAACAAGACTTAAGATAATAGGAGTATAGAGGAGATTACAAATGTCTTCTAGTTCTAACTTCGGTAAGCTATGTCTTCTATTATTCAACTAGGGATATTACTAAGGGAAGTACAAGCAGAGTATGTTTCCTATAGTAACTAAATCCTACTAGGCCTACAAACTGGAGGTGGACTACAGAGGATTCAACGAGGCTATAAGAGTCACCCTCGTGAGCTACCACCAATCCGTAATGTAGGGTACATCCACAAGTAACCCGACCTAAGCACCATGCTTACACCTACAATTACTACTTTAACCTAGAGCGTCATATAGATTAAAGCACTCAAAGAGTTGTGAACCTAATGAGCAATATAAACACGATGCTTACTTGAATTAGAAGTTGATTACTAGAGAATCCTCAGAACCAAGCTCAAGTAGAACTTGGATCCACCAAGGTACAAGCCATAGAGTGAGCATTGACAGGCTGGCACCTCCTCCAAACTCTTTCCTCACTCTCTATCTCACTATTCTATTTATAAGACTAGATCTTATGGAGGACTAATCTTCTCTTCATTGTTGACTCTGATCATGGTGATATGAATTAGGGTTTTAGGGATCTACTGAGGGAGGGGGGCAGGGGCTAGTATATATAGGTCGGAGCGTCCATCGTGAGCCCTTGGATCAAACCGACTTAAAGGACGGCGTAGATGCAACCTAGGAGATGGTGGAGAACCGACATAACGAGGCGGAGGCTGACGGGTGGCCCCAGGGGTCGAGCAGCCTGCAGGTGGGGTCGGCCGGTAGCCCCTCAACTCCCACTTCGGTGTGGTGTCCTCTGGAAGTCCTCTGGTTCTGGTGCCCGTTCCAAGTGGATAAGCATGATTAATTCTAACATATAGGTCCGCCTTGACGGTTTTCTTAATAAACCCTGTAGAAAATACAGATTCACCAAAACTCATGGAATTTGTTAGTTTAAACCCTTAGACATGTGTTAGTGATCACAATTGTGCCCTTACACATATTTTATTCACGATTTATAATGGTTGTTAACTACCATCAACAAGGACAAAGAGGGAGGTCATAATAAGATTCTTTGATGAAACCGATATATGAAAATAACTTTGTTTTACAGGACTGCTCGTTTGCACATAACTTTTGCAAGGCAAAGCAAGTCGAATGTTCCTCTCAAAAATCATATCAACTTCACAACGGTTACAAGATTCCCTTGTAGGTCTTCACCATGTCTACAAGGGAAACTCCTCTCAAAAAAAGGGGGCAGAAAGAAAACATGAGCTTCAATTAAATCCCTGATACCACCATCACTTTTGGCTCGATGAGCTTGTCGAAGACTTCAACAAAACCTTCTCTAACATTTTGGAGAAGCAACCTTCGTCATCAGCATAGACGACATCAACAAAACCCTTTCCAACACTCTAGAGAAGGAACCTTCATCATCATTTCGATGACTTCAACAAAACCTTCTCCAATATTTTGGAGAAGGAACCTTCGTCATCGACTACGGCTACTTCAACAAACCCTCTCCAACATTCTAGAGAAAGAACCTTCATCATTGACTCTGGTGACTTCAACAAACCCTCTCCAACATTCTAGAGAAAGAACCTTCGTCATCGACTCCAGTGACTTCAATGAACCCTCTCCAACATTCTAGAGAAGGAACCTTCATCATCGACTTCGGTGACTTCAACGAACCCTCTCCAACATTCTAGAGAAAGAACCTTCATCATTGACTCCCAGCGACTTCAACGAACCCTCTCCAACATTCTGGAGAAGGAACCTTCGTCATCCCCTCGGTGACTTCAACAAAACCTTCTCTAGCATTTTGGAAAAGGAACCTTCGTCATCAGCATGGGTGACACCAACACACCTACCCCAATGTTCTAGAGAAGGTACCCTCTCCATCGACCTCGGCGGTGCCAACACTTCGGCAAGGGGCTCGCCTTCAACCTCGGTGACACCAACCGTAGCCTCGCCAGCACATCGACAAGGGGCTCACCTTCAACCTCGGTGACTTTGACCGCACCCTTGTCAACAATTTGGCAAGGGGTTCGCCATCGACCTCGGCTGTGCCAACACTTCGGCAAGGGCTCGCCTCGACCCCGGCGGTGCCAACACTTCGGCAATGGGCTCATCTTCAACCTCGGCGACATCAACCACATCCTCACCAACACATTGGCAAGTGGCTCGCCTTCAACCTCGGTGACTTTGACCGCACCCTCGCTAACACTTCGGCCAGGGGCTCGCCATCGACCACGGTGGTGCCAACACTTCGGTAAGGGGCTTGCCATCGACCTCGGCGACATCAACCGCACCTTCACCACACTTCACTAAGGGGCTCACTGTCGACCTCGGTGGCATCAACCGCACCCTTGTCAATACTTTGACAAGAGGCTCGCCATCTGACCTCGGTGTTACCAACACTTTGGCAAGGGCTCTCCATCGACCTCGGTGATATTGACCTCACCCTCACCAACACTTCATCTGCACCTTGACCTCACATTTGGTTTGAAGATCCACACCCACCTTCGACACCATCGGCACCATCTACATCACCATCACCTCACTTGTCTGCTTTGACATCAACTTTGGCTCTGCAAGGCTACCTTCAGCATCAACTACTTTCAATGATGACTTCAACTTCACCCTGCCGTCACCCTCAGCCAAAGTGAAGAACCTCCCCCAAAGTTCAACGTCAACATCGTCGACACAAAGCCTCCGCCTACTCATAAGCACCAGCCAAGAGGGCTAAGGGGGTGCATTGGGGGACCAATTCAACCCGGAGGACATGTCTTGCCCGCTGCTCCTAAGTCGAAGGAGGCAAGCCCTACCAGCTATGACAACTACTCCATCCATGTCCACCTCGACAAATGCGTCATCATCGACCTTTGATGGCAACTCCGCGATCCATTTACGTCGACGACCGTGACTGCTAGAACGACTACTTGCGCTACTACGACTACTTCAGCTATAGAGAGCTACTCCCGGTAAGGTGGAGACACTCACGGCAACTAAGTCAAGAAGGAGCTAATAAGTCGTCGACCTCCGCAATCAACAAGTCATCATCGTCATGTCATGGCCTTCGACCCTCGCCGCCAAAGCGCTTCCTGCTATAATTATACTTTGGACCTTTTTCCTATTATTGTAGCGACTAGACTTTGTTGTACCACCAAAACCTAGTGGCTAAGGGACTTTTGTGGGGTTAGGGGCGGCTGTGCCTACCCCCTCCATGTCTAAAGGTCTAGTGCCTAGTAGGTCTGTGGACCTTCAAGTAAATTCTTGAACTAAAAGGGGTGGGGAGGAAGATGCATTCTTCCACCTCCCCCTATAAATAGAACCCAAGAGCAAAGGGGAAGGGGCCCTCTCTCTTCCCACTCTATTCTCCTGTGTGGGACTAGCTCCCTAGGTTTCCCTTTACCTCGATGAAGGTACCTTCGTTCGGCCAGGTGAAGGTACGCATGAAGGATTACATCCCAACAATATTACTTTCCCTTCATTTAATCGCTAGTATGATCCTGCGGAAGCTAGTACTTTCTCTGTCCCTAAATAAATAGATTAATAGAGTTGTCTTAAGTCAAACTTTTTAAACTTTGACCAAATTTCTTGAAAAAAACATTAAGACTTATGATATCAAATTATTATCATTAGATTTATAATAGAATATATTTTTATAAGATGCTTATTTTATGACATAGATGTTGTTACTCTCTTCTATAAAGTTAGTCAAACTTAAAATAGTTTGACTAACATGGATTTTAGAAATTGATTTATTTAGTTCTTTTTAGGGCAGTGGAGATTTCATAAGATGGACATTAATTTAGTTAACGTGACAGCAGAAACGAAGAGAGATTTTGCTCAAAAAAATGAAGAGAGATAATTAAAACTGTATAAGATGAAATGAGTTTAATTTATCCACACGTTTACAACGCATTAGAGTCTTGGAACCATGAAACTCCTACTGACCTTTCAGCCGATGTTCTTAGCCTGATCGTTTCGTCGTAAATGATTATGGATTATTTATTGCTGGCTGATTTGGTGTGAGAAAAAAATAATATTCCAACTTATAATCCATGATCGTATACGAGCACATGAACATGTTGTTCCCTAATAATCCCGCAATGATGAACCACACTCCGTAATCCACACCGATTAATTAACCCGACTAACCAGCAATTTCTGTATCATATTCTCACAAAAAAAGCAATTTCTGTATCCTAATCCAAACCTCGCCATCATCCCCTCCGTCAGCCTCCTCCCTTTCCTACTCGGATTCCATTCCATCCACCGAGTCTCATCACTGTTCCCGTCCTCCACTCCCCTCAACCTCAAGAATGTTCTCGCCTTGATTGCGCCACCCAACCCCAGGCCAAATTTTCCCTCCCGGCAAACCAGTGTCACTTTCACCTTTGCGGGGTTGAATTGAATCCTGTGGGTTTTGTTCGCCTTTTGCATTCGTCGGCGCTGCCTGTTTTCTTGCGGGCCTCTCCCTCTTTCTCTGCTCTCCGCTTCGTGGCCCCTCTCACCGTCACTTGCGTGCTGCCGCTGTTTTTCCCGCGCCCCGGCAGATCAACTGATCCGTCCTCTTCTTCCCCGTGCCAGCTCCCCTCTCATCGAATCGATCGCTGGATCGACCGACCGTAGTCGTCGGGTCGGTATGTTCTGAACTTCTGATTCTTGGTTTGATCTGGGTTCTTTTGGTTTGGTTTTCTCCAGTTCTTGGGAGGGTGAAACGGCATCCTGATTTCGTGGATTGGATGCAGGCAGGGGACGGGAGGGAAGGGCGCCGACGATGGCGGACTTGGTGGGGCCGCGGGTGTACAGCTGCTGCCATTGCCGGAACCACGTCTGCCTCCACGACGACATTATCTCCAAGGCCTTTCAGGTGAAGAGCTGGAGCTCCTTCTCAGTTCTTGGGGGGATTTCAGATTCCTTCCTAACCATGGCCCTAGTTCTTCAGTAACAGTAGTGTTTTTTTGAAACAGTAACAGTAGTGTTGGGCGTCCTCGCCCCCCCGCCCCCCCCGGCCAAAAAAAGAGAGAGAGTAGTGTTGGGCGCATTGTTTGTGAAATCCTATAATTTATCTGCCATCAGTCAGTGACTCAGCGAGTAAAAAAATTCCTTAATTTGTCTATTCATGACAACACTATTACACTAGTAGTTTGGCTGCAGTAGAATTGAAGAAGCTCAGCAGCAACCTAAGAAAGCCTGTTTACTTGCTGCATTCCTATTTCATCAGTTTGAACAGATTTTCAATGGTTGCTGAATTTCCTAGTGAGACCTGAATTCGTCTCTCTGCAGAGTAGAGAAGAACAAGCTGTAGTTTGATTTTTTTTGGTTTGTCTAATTGTCTTTGAGGGATGATGTTGTCTCTCCCTTGCTCTTCTGACTGTTCTAGGGACGGAATGGCCGTGCATTTCTGTTTTCTCATGCCATGAACATAGCTGTGGGGCCTAAGGAGGATAGGCAACTCATGACAGGCAGTCACACCGTTGCTGATATCTACTGCCGTGACTGCCGTGAGGTGCTAGGGTGGAAATATGAGAGGGCTTATGAGGAGTCGCAGAGATACAAGGAAGGGAAGTTCATATTTGAGAAAGCAAAGATTGTTAAGGAAAATTGGTAGTGATTAATGGTTCGGTGTGTTGCAACCTTATTTTCAAAGATGTGATCAATGTCTTTGTACATAGCTGTCTGTTGTTGCCTGTAGGTTCCAATATTGGGCTGCATGATTGTGTTCATGCCATTTGTAATCTGCGCCTGTTACTGTACATTTCTGTAAAGAAGACAGATGCATGTTTATCTGTTTGGTGACCGTTGTCATCAACCATAAGTGAATGACTCCTTTTTTGTTATTTTTCCAGTTGTGACCCATCAGGAGCTTTGCTAATTCCAGGCTATAACTTGCTACACTCTTAATAAAAAAAGGTCCTAGTGTAAATATATCAGCCTGCCTTAATTCAATCTTTTGTTGTTGAAGTTACAATTGCAGAGGAATCATGTTGCACTTGCCGAATGATGTTCTTCAATATGTAATTTCCTTCTCTTCTTGTCTGTATGACCAATATCTTCTTTGCTTGGATGTTTTTCCAGATTCTTGTCTTTGGAATGTTCTCTCTTGTTTCTCTCCTCTAATTTCAAATCCATGCCACGTTTTTCGATGTTCATCCTAGGATGGTTAGGATTGTAATTCACAGCAGTAGAAATTGCATGATCAACATCCTTGATATCAGATGCATTTGCGCCATAACAGAAAACTTGGATGCTGATTTGCTTGAGAGATTTAAGGTGCTCAATGCCAAATCTGTGACTGTATGGCTTTGCTCTGATTACATGGATTGTTGTGTGTAGCCTCTCTAGCTTCGGGAATGATGCTGGTTCGAATAGCAAGCAAGTTTCTTCACAGCTGAAGAAGAGCTCTTTCAAGTATGGGAATCCTACTCCATGAATGACAATTGTATCATCTTTCTGAGGTGATTTCAACCATAAGTCAAGACGAAGTAGGGAAGGCAACTCTCTGAGTATTAATATGTCTTCATATGCTAGTTCTGCAATGTTAATGTTTAAATCAATGAGGTTGCAGAGTGGTGCCATCCACCTTGGTACTCTTGGGAGGAAGTAATATGCTGATAGTCTGAATTTTTGAAGGCTATTGGGTGCTGGCGACCAAGAATCCAGAAACTCAAGGGAACCTAAGTTGCGACTGCAGATTGCAAAGGATTGAAGGTTTCTTGTGCCCAGTTTCCCTAAAGTTCTCATCAAAGCCTCTTGGTGCTTCACATTTCCAGAAGTAAAATCTGTCCAGTTGATTGCAACCTCCTTCAAACTTTGCAGATTACCAAGTTCTTGTACTGCACATGCTGAACTGCGACAAATGTCGAAACCTAGTATGGCTCTTAGGGATGCCATGCTCCCTATACCATCTGGTAGCTTTACTTTTCCCCATGTATGGCCACCACTGAGTATATACTTGAGTTGGTGAAGACCAGTTATTGTTCCAGGTAACTCTTCTATATTTGTATCTCTTATGTCTAGTGTTTCCAAAGTTTTCAGGTCTCCTATTTGTGGTGGGAGATTAGAAATCCATGTCCTCCGGAGGTTCAAATACTTCAAATGAAACAAATTGCTGACCTCTTTCAGATAATTTTCGCTGAATCCTTGGTATCCCTCGAGATTTAACACTCGCAGGACTCTAAACACAGATAAAGGAGGTATGAGAGTAGCTTGTACAAATGAGGTTAGTGTCCTAACATGATACAAGTTCATTTCCCCTTGCATTTTTGATGTTTGTGAGTCACACTGGATAGATAGTCGACGAACAGTATCTTGAATAAATGAGGTTGGAACTGGATGACCACCGACCAAAGTGACAAAATTCTCTTCAATGGCCTTTGATACTATAAGCTCAAGCATCACATCATGAACCTTGCAAGCATGAGCGCTACCATCACAGTTTATTTCCATTGGTTGGACCATGCTTCTATTGATGAGCTCATTGAAGTAGCCCTCTGCGACATCTTCCACACTTAGACCTCTTTCTAAGCCAATAAATCCTTCTGCAATCCACTGCTGAATCAGACTATCCCTTTCAATCTTGAAGTCCTCTGGATATAAACTGAGGTATAGCAAACATGTTTTCAGGTGGTAAGGAAGGTCGTAATAGCTGAGGGAAAGTATCTGTTTCATGCCTTCTAAATCAGGATTCTTTTCTAATGCAGAACCTATGGAAACAAGCAATTTTTCCCATTGTTCCTTCAACATGACAGGCTTGCTGGCTAACAAGCTAGCTATGCTTATTATAGCCAACGGTGAGCCGCAACATTTTTTCAGTATCTGTTCTGAAACTAACTTTAGTTGGGGAGGGCAACCATCCTTGTCGCCAAATATTCGCTTGAAAAATAAGACCTTTGAATCAGATTCATCAAGTGGTTCAATTCTGTATACACAATCATTACGGTCAGAGCAACACGACTTTGCTACTGACTCGATTCGTGTTGTTGTTAGGATCCGGCTGTTGTGATTATTCTGAGGTAAAGCACATCTCACTTTTTCCCATGCTGATTTACTCCAAACATCATCAATTATAATAAGGTACCTGAATCAAATATTGAGCCAGGATTAGATACCATATCGTATAGCTATCATCTTTAGAGCAGTGAATTACCAGCACACAATTAGTAAACCAATTTGGGTTATTTCTTTGTTCAATATATTTATCATGACTTAGAATTGAGCATATCTTTCAAATAACCTATGGGATTTATGCTCATTATATATTAATATCAATCTGAATGCATATATTATTGTAAAATCTTGTATGACAATTTTAGATAGAAACAATGTGTCATAACTGTCCTCATTCTGAGGTCATATCATAAAATAGAGAGGTATATATGATGCAAAGCCATTCCTACAATGCAGTTAGAAAATTCCTAATATGCTATTCTTAAGTAGAAAAATTGCCCATATTCATACAATTAAGGGTACAATCAAAGGCCCTGGAAAAGCATAGAAATGTTACCACGGGAGCTATCCATCGTCATCAGGTTTAGTATTAACAAACACAGAGTATTATATATTTTTTGCATAATTGTGTTTCCCCCCATGAAAATAAGGGTGTGGATCTTGTTCTTCTCTAAAATAGTTAGAAAAATTCCAGGATTTTATCTTTGTTCCTCATTTTGTTTAATGGAATATCGGTGCCTTGAATCACATGGTCTTTTTCATATATGTTCGAGAAAAAATAGATATAATGTTCAGATTTTGATTCAAAGGCACCCAGATTCTGCAGATAGTTCAGCTTGTTTAATCCATTAGTTCCAGGTTATATAGCAATATTGTAGAGAAATTAGGGTCTTAATAATTCAAAGAAAAGTAGTTTGATGGTACGACCAGTTCACACAAAAGTCATCTCAAATTGAGACTTTATATAGAACTTG